TCAACTGGAGTGTTCGTACTGGAGCTGGTAAGACATGGGCAGCAGTGAAGATCACAAGGAGCGTTTCAAACGTTGCTGGTCCAGGAGACGTCGACATAATACGAAGAAAGCCGTCTGGTGTAGAGATACTGCTACCCGAACGAGGTGCTGACATGGACTTAGATGTTCAAGCGAATTTGAATGTCTTGAATGTTACTTTTACACTTCGTAATCTATCAAGGAAAACTGACGAGATGTATTACAGAATATCTGTGGTCGACAATGACTATGACACTAGTTCTTTGAGACACACGAAGCTGTTCGTGGATGGTAAGTAAAGGAGACTCTGGAAGTCTGAAGCTTACAAGCTTACAATTTGAATAATGATCATGACTGGTATGTGGCTTTGAAATTATGCACAAAGAACATTTTGATTGTCTGGATATCTTGTGATTTTTATTAGTGAATACCTTTTCATATAATGAGCTATATATTATTTTAAATCCTTACTTCCGGTAACGAGAAAAGATAGATATTGATCATGTAATAAAGAAGAAAAATGTTATACATGGTATGTGACTTAAATGCTGCTCTTGGCGTATGGATAGGTGGTTCAAGGTTACATCTTACAGGTTTTATTTTTGAATAGTCATCATGTACATTTTGATTGACAAGAAGTCCTTAATTCTCTATAAATAATGGTTTTTTTGGTTCCTAATAATCCGTCGGATCTTTAATTTACTTCATTCAAGTTACTTAATTAAAATGTACTTACGCTAATAACATGATGAAGATAGATATAGATACATATCCAGTTGGCATAGGGTAAAACATGGACTGGACTCTTGGACTCTTGGACCCTGGACCCTTGGACTATTCTTTGGACCCATGTTTGAACCATTATATTTCTTATAACTCTTGGTTATTATATACATTAGTCTTTTTTTTTAAATCACTTGTAAGGTTTTTATTTTGCTCTCATATGGCCGCGTTCAAATCAATTTATAGATAAGTGAAATTGTCATGGAACGACTTCTAAATCAAGCTTCGAATGAGCGCAAATCAAAGTAACATTTTCAAATGAAAGGCTATGCTATGTTGAGTTTTTTTGTCTTTTTTTGTCCTATGACATTCAACATCGAAAAGGCCGGTTTAGACGGTACGACTTTCGCCTACAACTATCGTATACAACACGCTCGTGCCATCCTACAACTCGAGTCGTAGCGTTTAAATCAAGCATACAACACGCCCACGACAGACGAGAGCGTGTTGTATACAATAGTTGTAGGCAAAAATCGTACCGTCTAAACCGGCCTTAACAGAAGAGCGCGGTAAGACTCGAATGTATGCCCAGACTGACTGTTTGCCGGCATTGTATGTGGTAGGTTTTTAGTTTTGCTAGGCGTTAGGGTTTGGATAATAAGATGACAAGGTGAAGACAAGCCGCGCGATACTGGGAATATTGAAGGGTTGTACAAAGGGATCTCAACGTATAGGCTGTCTTTATACTTTGTATTGCATGCACGTGACTAGCATAGCCTTTCATTTGAAAATTTTACTTTGATTTGCGCTCATTCGAAGCTTGATTTAGAAGTCGTTCCATGACAATTTCGCTTATCTATACTCTGTGTGGTCTCTGTATAGCCATCTAGATAGCATATAGAAGACTTGAATATCCGAGGTTGCAGTAGTGCTGAGGATTCTGTTGTAAAAGACACATTATTTTATGACCGTGAAGAATGAACGCAAATCAAAGTAACATTTTTTAAATGAAAGCCTATGCTAGTCACGTGCATGCAATACAAAGTATTGTATTGTAAGTGCGTTCCTCAAATCGCATGCAACAAACTGGTCGCAACCAATAGTTATAAGAAATATAATGGTTCAAACATGGGTCCAAAGAATAGTCCAAGAGTCCAGGGTTCAAGAGTCCAAGAGTCCAGTCCATGTTTTACCCTATGCCTATCCAGTTGCGTTACACAGGCTATTAGACAGGAAGCACAATTGAATATATTATGTTAAGTAACACCAGATCATCAATGAAAACGACAGCGTGTTTTTGTTTCAACATATAGGAATTTTCTGTTGAAAGCAATTGAATTACGTACAAATCTGACTTATGTCCGCTTTTCAATAATGGAATTTTTCGTATTAGTCTTCATTTCTACTTTGCTCTTTCATTCGTCAGGTAAGGAAATAAGTTTTTTTTTTTTTTGTTTTTTTTTTGAGCAGTAATATGCCTACACAAACAATAACCAATAACAACACATAACGGGTCAAACTTACACTAATAAGCTGTTTCTAGATGCTGGATCATTCACTTGGCTACGTTCGGACGATACAGTGAATGTTGTTGAAGGTGTAACTAGCTAAAAACTAGTGTGAGCTGCGTCGGTGTTTCTAATGAAACAGTAATGATGAAAAGGTAAATTATACACCGTGAAAAGATGAAAANGTCTTCATTTCTACTTTGCTCTTTCATTCGTCAGGTAAGGAAACTTTTTTTTTTTTTTTTTTGAGCAGTAATATGCCTACACAAACAATAACCAATAACAACACATAACGGGTCAAACTTACACTATAATAAGCGGTTTTTAGATGCTGGAACGTTCACTTGGCTACAATGGGATAATACATGTTGTGGAAGGTGGAACGGCAAAGCTCAACTGGAGTGTTCGTACTGGTGCTGGTAATACATGGGCAGCAGTGAAGATCACAAGGAGCGTTTCAAACGTTGCTGGTCCAGGAGACGTCGACGTGATAAGAAGAAAGCCGTCTGGTGTAGAGATACTGCTACCCGAACGAGGTATTGACATGGACCTAGATGTTCAAGCGAATTTGAATGTCTTGAATGTTACTTTTACACTTCGTAATCTATCAAGGAAAACTGACGAGATGTATTACAGAATATTAGTGGTCGACAATGACTATGACACTAGTTTTTTGAGATACACAAAGCTGATCGTGGATGGTAATTAAAGGAGACTCTGGAAGTCTGAAGCTCCAATGACCTACAATATAAATGAATATAAATTTTACAATTTAAATGAATATACCCTGTTTTTCTGAATATGCTTCATGTTTTTATTGGGAAACAATACTTCCTGTTAGATAGTTTATTCGTGCTATATTATTTTACTTCGGGGTACGAATAAAGATTGAAATATATTTAAATCAATCAATAAGGAAGAAAACATGTTTTATTTGCTTATGGTTTATAAACACCATCGACTGACACAGTAAGTTACTTAATGATGCTCTTTGTATATTGAATTTAAATTTAAGGTTATATATTGCAGGTTTTATTTTATCTATATGCATCATTGACAGTTTTGATTGACTAGCTTTACGATAAGTAAAAGTATCTTGGTTCCTCAGTATCCGATGGATCTTAAGTTGTTTAGTTTCAAGCTACTTTCGCTAATAACAGGATAAAGACAAATGGTATGCATACACCTTTTGCTGTTCATTAAYAGAAAATGTACATTCATTTGTGCCAATAGTTGTATCAATAACGTGTAATGTACTTTCATCAACACCACAAGTATAGAGCACTTTGTGTTCAACATGATGTGACGCCCCCCGGAAAAAATCTGACACTAGATCCGAAAATCTGACTCAAAAATCTGACTCTAAAACCTGACACCAACTTCACTCTGGTGCTCTCATATGGTGAAGGAACCCCGAAGTACGCCTGGTATTAAGTTAATAATAATAATGATAAATAATAAATTCTGCTCCAGGTGAAAGAGAACATGATCAACAATTTACATGTGAACAAAATCAAACTTAAAAAACAACTTGAAGGTCTGAAACGACGAAATGCAAACAATTGGTTTGATAACAATGAAGGAAAGTATTACTTTCATTGCAGAAATATTATTAAGAATGATCCTGACAACAAAAGGTCAATATATACAGAAGCAAACAATGTTCAAGATCAAAAGACAGACAAGGAGCTAACCAAGAACGACTTCGAAGAATTTTGGAGACCCATCTGGGAGAATAATAAAGAAACCAACTTGAATGCAGCCTGGATCAAGGAAGTGAAAGAAGCCATCAATGAAGTCATACCACCACCTTCAGATGATTTAATGAATGTTCAGGAAAGTGACATCAAATCAAGTATACGTAGTAAAAGAAACTGGAGCTCCCCTGGAGTTCATAAAATTACCAACTACTTGATAAAAAAAGATAACAGCCGCCCATGAAGGACTGGCAGTAGCCGTGACAGAAATCATCAACAGTGAACAATCTCTACCTCAATGGCTATGTGAAGGGAAGTGCATAATGATACCAAAGACCGAGAAACCTAAGCCCAAAGATCATACACCAATAACACTCCTAAATACCATGTACAAGTTAGTAACGTCAGTAATCGATTCAAGACTAAGGAAACACCAAGAACAATGCAAATGTATGCAAATAGATCAGCGCGTGTGTACATTAAAGTAGTATTCTTTGAAGCTTGTAAATCTCACTGTTATATAATTCTCCTTGCTTGCAAAAATCTCGACTAACTCTAAAACTATTGGGTGTTAACGAATTACTAGTACCATACCTAAGGTCAAAAAATGTACATTAGCATGTGTAAGGTACTTTGTGCGGAAAAACTCTAATAGCTACTATTTGTCAGTATCAACTTCGTTTTTATTTCAAGGTTTTACTGCATGCGCTCTATTCAAGATGGTAACCTAAAATCAATCTTGCGTAACAAAAGAGCTTCGAGGTGAGATCCCATGGGACCCAGTCCATCTGTTTATGATACTTTTACATTTACTTTTACACGTCTTCGTAGCAGGAATCTGGCGAATCTTTCCAGTGCGAAGAAAAAATCTTCCTTCAATTCCGTCAAAGAAATGGCTTCAGTTTGGTATTGAAAATGTTCGCTCTGTCAAGAATACGACAACTCTTATTATGGACCATGTTTTATTGGGAATAACATTGATCTTTCTCTGCTAACCGAAAACCTGGCTCAAAGACTATGATTATGTTAGTGTTTCTTCTCCGGTTACCTGTTTATAATTTTTCCAAGATCATCTCAACGCATGCGGTGGTGGCACTGATATCCTATATAACATCAATTTAAAGACTTCATATTGATTGACGGTGGTGACCAACGCTGTTGAGTTTTCCGAATGGAATTTTTCTACTCCTGGTCGAAAATTTAAGATGATTGTTATTTATCTTCCTCCTTGCTCAAAAGCTCATCCTACCACATCAAGTGTATTCTTTGCAGAATTTTCGTCATACATGCTCAGAAATCTTAATCGTTACTGGCGACTTTATTTTCATTTAGATGATTCTACTAACCCTGACTTAATAAGATTTAACGACTTATTGGATACCTTTATTGGACTTATCCAGCATGTAACTGTTGTTACTCATTCCTCAGGACATACCCTGGACCTCATGCATCACTCGATCATCCAATGATGCCAATATTCTTCGACCTGCAGCTACCTTATCAGTTTCTGATCACAGTTTCATTGAATGTAAAATGTCTCTTTCTCATCCATCCTTAATAGTGAAGAAACTAGAGTTCTTTAAGCTCAAGAAAATCAATATCGCTGCGTCAGACCTATGTCATTTTCCTTGGTCCAATTCGGAGGATTTGGTCAGTTGTTATGATGACACGCTTCTGAGAATCTTGGAGAGAGATGCCCCTCTACAAGAAATATCGTTGTTGCGAGACCTATGGTTCCATGGTTCAGTAAACATCTCAAAGAACTCAAATCCAAACGCAGGAATATTGAAAGGAAAATGCTTAAGTCCAAGCTCCAGTGTGACAGAGAGATGCGTATCGAGACATCTGTAATAACTACTTCAGGTTGCTAGAAGATTTTAAAAAAAAAACATTAATCTGACCAGATTACACAATGTGCTGGAGATTCTAAGAAACGCGAGGAAAGCCCTTTGCCATCACACGAAAGTCCAGATTTTCTGGCAAACCAATTTGGTGAATTTTTCCCTTTTTTTAAAACTTCGATTTTCCGAATTGAAATTTAATGCAGATTCCAAATCTGGAAAGAAAAACTTAGTGTTCCGAGCTTGTTTTTGAGATAATCAGCATTTAATGGAAGCCTACGCGCGAGCTTTTGGAGCAAAAATTGCGCCACCGGAAGTGATTAGAAAAATAATAAGATTTAATAGTTATTTGCAGACTATGTGATTGCACGAATGACGGCTAGTCAATCATTCTACAATGATACGTGGATATTTTCGACAAAAATACAAAGAGATACATTGATTTGTCATATTTTGTAGTTTTGGTGCTCTTAAAAAATCTCATAAAGTCGAACAAATATCCCTACAAAAATTCTTTTTTTTCTTGTGTTAGAAAAATKAACTTTTTCTAAAATGTTGATATAACCTAGATTTTAGGAGTTTTTTCGAATAATCAATTAAAAAATAGAGAGTCCAGTGCAAAATTTGAGGGTTTTGCCCTGTTGAAGCTCAGAACGCGTATGGTTCTTCAATAAAATGTTGTAGATTTTTCAGCGGTTTTTGTGCGCGCGCACATCGTGGGCTCAAATCGAACGTTCAAAAGTAGTCAGTCACCTTAAGAAATCAAAGGTAACCCATGGTAAGCTAGTGAAGCTTTTTGAGTACCAATGAACTGAGATGATAACAAATGACACTCGGTGACTCATTTAAGAGCAGATGTCCCATAATATCGAGGAAAATCGAGAATTCGCGGTTACAGTCAAAATTTCGATTTTCTCATTTTTGGTTTGCTGAAAGGTATTACCGAGTAAACAAACGTGGTGTAGTTAGTTTTTCAAAAAAACCGCTAAAAATCTGAGAAATCAAAGAAAATCTGTTGGCCTAGCGGCGACCTCAAAAGTATGCACATTTTCAGTTGAATCAAACAGGTCCAAAAACAACTAACGCATACAGAATAGGAAAAAGATATGAAAACTATGTGTTCATAAATTGATAGAAGCGATGTTTGAGACTTGATTTGGTATAAAATAACGGTTTTAGCTATTTATTGAAAGCGGTCAGATGATATTTAGAATTGAGTGGTATTCACACATAGATCTGACCCTTGCTACGCCAAAACGAAATTAATCAAGTGCGCCATTTTTTTTCTCAATGGAACTCACGTCATGAACTATTTAGGTGTTGATTTTGCAGAATGCCGACAAACGTGCATGAAACTGCTTTATAATTTGATTTAAAAACATATTATCTTTAATGGGTTTTGCATGTTAATGTTCCTTTTTAAACTCCATTAATTTCGTGCGATGTAAACGGTACCCAAAATCTTGAGATTCCTCAAAAGGAAAGTTTTTAAAGCTGAAACTATCTTACCAGAGGGAGCAGGTAAAACCTTACAGCAGTTCGTCAATTTTGTCAGTTTTACTGGCTTAATCCGAATGTTAGTTTCTTTAGAGAATCTACCTAAACGAATGTTGTAACTGTTAAAATAATGTAAACTGCTAATAAAAGGTATTTTTTAAAGGAAATGCATTTTCGGGTTTAAATTCCGGATGAAAATAGAAACCAATGAGAAAATAGCGACCAGAAACAACAAACACTTGTCGATTTCAGTCACGGTGTATGTCGAAAATACCCAATGTTCACAGCCTCCGTATGAACCCTAAATACTATAACCCAAACTGATTTTTGGATATGTTCTAGAAGAACATCTAAATAGTTCATGACGTGAGTTTCATTGAGAAAAAAGTGGCGCACTTGATTAATTTGTTTTTGGCGAGAAGGGCTGTCTTGCTAAGCATGAGATTTTATCTGATTTTTCTGATGCTTTTTGTTATGTTAAACTCCAAAAACATACCAGAAAGCTAAATAATCATGCTAATATTACTTATGTATCTAATGGTCTCGATGTTAAACAATTTCCATCGAGAAATTCAAGATTATCGCGAAGTTGCTCCAATGAACAACAGACGCCGCCGTCTTTATAATTAAAGTTCAGAGCTGGAGTGTTCATCTCTAAGGCTGGCTTTTTGGCTCTCAGTCTGGTTGCACTTGCTGGTGATGTATCCGTGAATCGTATCTTTCCTGTCCGACACTAATTCTACAGCATCCAACTATAAATCTGATTTGGATAGCGCCTGTGTGGAATTTCCCTCCAATGATGAATTCTGCGACCCATATCCTTTCTTTGGTTTGGGTCTTGGAAATAAGGGCGTTCGCTTTGGTACGTGGAATGTAAGCAGACTGACTTTGTCTAAATTTGAACAAATCAAGCTCTTTCTCCTTGGTAGAGATAATCGCTCGCAAGTCGATGTTCTGGCATTGAATGAGACATTCTTAAATTCTAATGTTCCTGACGCAATGTTTTCTGTACCTGGCTTTAGCACATATCGCAGGGATAGGATTGGTAAAACTGGAGGTGGCGTTATGATGTTTGTCAACAACTCACTGAATCATCGCAGAAGAAATGATTTGGAAGATTGTAACCTTGAGGTTATTTTGGTGGAAATCTATCCTTTCAAATCAAAACGTCCTCTGCTCTTTGCGGCTGTTTATCGACCACCATCTTATTCCCAAGATATGGATCACAAGCTAGACAAGAGCATTGAATCTGCCTATTCATTAAATAAGGAAACGATTTTACTTGGAGATTTCAACGTTAACTGCAATGAACGTCAGAAATTTTAAAAACATCGCCTGATCAAACATATTCTCAGTATGAATTGTAAACAGCTCGCAGAGTCAATAACAAGACCAATAAGTGGCACCTGTCTGGATCATGTTTTCAGTAATTGTCCTGAAAGAATCAAGAAGACAATAACTTATAATTATGGTATCTCCGACCACATTCCAGTATTCTGTGTGCGCATTTACAAGAACAATAGCCCAAATCACGGTCCTTACCCACGCACTGGAGCTGTGGCGCACAACTACCTAGCGTATGCAAATCTTCAAGTAGATCCCTAGTGCATATAAATGATGCAAAATTAACGATACGGAACGCACGCGCCAGTGAGGTTATCAGCTCAAAATGCTCAATTAATCACGGTCCGTGAAAAGAACGCGCTAGGTGTTAATTTTTAACCTTATTAATAACATGCTTCCTTTGTTCAGTTGTTTCTTAAATACAACAACTAACACTTTATTTCAAAATACTTGTTTTATTTCATGCAAATTTTACGAAATAAGTTTTCTACATTATAAAGTTATGCCTGCAGAGCTTTTAAAATTGCTCTATTTCAGTGGCTCAAAGCATCTATATTTCCTCAAATAGGGAGATATGGCGCTCGGTTAAAAATGTACATAGCTCAAATACCATAGGAAGCATCCACCTTGGGTGACGCCATATAAACGTAGTACATTTGTAATCTTTCAGGTGCTTGAATATATGTTCTACCTTCACACGTTTGCGCGAAAGTTCAAAGTTGAACTTTCTCGCCCGTCGCCTTTCTCTGTTGTTTCTCATTCGTCTGATCTGTGCTTGTCTGAAAGGCGTAAGCAAAGGAGGGTCATCTGGGTAGCCTTTATCAGCCAACAACACAACTCCTACAGGCAAATCCAACAAGCGGCCAGCTCCTACGGCCTCCATAAGCCGAAAACCCTGAGAATCTTGCATGCGCCCTAGAAATCCTGCTTGAAGGAATCGTATGTGCCCTTCGTTATCGCATATAAGTTGAGTGTATTACAGATGAAAATGCCTATGGCCGCTGTAAAACTCTCGCTGTGGTTCTGTAGAAGGGATTTGAATTTCGTGTGGAGTAGCATCGATACAGCCAACTGCATTAGGAAACTCTGGCCATTTATTACGCATTTGATTCCATTCCCTGATTCTTGGCCATGATATTTGGGCATGGAAATGCCGCCATAGAATCATAACGCCCTGATAAATATGGGCAGATACGGTTTGAGGGCTTATATGGAATAGAAGAGCTACGGTATGTTCATGGGTATATTTCCTGAGCCACATCAAAACCAAAAGTAAGCGGTTAATTGGGTTAAGCTTAAATCGTCCCATTCTTCGCCTTAAATTACCACGCCTTGTCAACGGCAAGAATTCCAACGCAGTTTGTCTTGATATTTCTAGAAATGTTTCAGGAGTTTCGCCAGTGCTCAACCAGAAAAGGTAACGTTGATTGCAGATGAGTGTGAAGACGTCACGCCCAGCAAACACGTGACCATGAAAATTGTAAAAAAGTCTGTCTCTAAGCGGCAATGGAATCATCAAAGGAGGGTTGATCGACATCACAAACAGTAGAAATTGAAGTAAAGTATTGAAAGCCATCATTAACAGTCGTAGTTCTGCAGAATGATCAGTGTCCAAAGGAGGCGGGACCAAACTTAAGGCGTGAATCATTTGACTAGAAGCCATAAGAAACATAGAAAACTGTCGCAAACGTTGACCTTCCATCTTGACCGCAGCTGAATTAGAAGTCAACAAAACACAACCAAATGCATTCTTTATGGCCACAAAATTGTGATCGTTCGATCGTGGTATTTACAGTTCTTTAGAAACGCAACGTGTGGAATTTGCAAAAAAAGGTGCGAAAAGAGTGCTATAAAAAGCTCGATCTCAAATGTAGCGTTCTCTTTCCCGACCATGGATCAGAATATTTGGAGACCATTCGACGAGCTGGAACAAAATGAACCAAGAACGACGAAAGACAAGAAAATGTGTGTGAAAGTGGGAGAAAACGAGAAGAGGCTCGTCCTGAATGCGTATACGCAGTCTGGTCATTGGGGGGGGGGGGGGGGGGGGGGAATGCCGTCTATAGCACCCTCAAGGAAAATATCGAGCAGCTACCTCTCAATTCTAGAGTTATAGACTACTATCTTGAAACAGGAGAGTCGACG